AAAGATGAGCTTCTCCGGCATACACTTTATTAAAGTTAACAAATGTGTGAAGGACCCATGAAGGAAGAAATTCGCAGGTTGTTATCTTTCAATACAAGACCTGAAGTGGAAGCATATTTTTAATTAGCTGTAGGCTTTATATTTAATGCATGTTTAAGTGGTTTTTTATACCTCAAACTGTTTTAAAACATACTTTAATTTGGCGCTGTGCTCTTCAGATTGCCTTTAACCAGAGTAGTATCCAGTAGTGGTTGGTGAATAAGTGGATACATTATACCTACTCTAGAGTAGGTATATATAAATATATATACTGGTCAAAGTTGATTCAAACATATCAACAGTGATCTGCGACAGAATTTACGGGGCACTCTTTGGGTCATTATAGCAAAATGTGATGTGGAATGTAAAGAGGACAACGTCAGACATCTAATTTTCCACTTTCTCCTTCCCATCCCTCAAACTTCTTCACCCGACCACGTCTCGATCCAGGGTGCATTGTTTCCATTACCTCATCCCCCTGGCTAAGCAAGGCAATTACGCCATCGTGGCTAATGTGGAGAGCATGGACTACGACCCGCTGGTGGTGAAACTGAACAAGGACATCTCAGCCATAGAGGAGGCCATGGGGGCCGGCCTGCAGCAGCACAAGTTCCAGTACATCTTTGAAGGTCAGCACGGACCTGGGGTGAAGTATTAACAGCTGAGAAATACTGTCAAAAGTGAAGTCTTTATGGGTCATGTGGTTGTTGAGTACCTAAATCCAATGTGAAAAGGTGCTTGACAGAAGAAACCTTTCTTCTCTATTCCCTTCTGCTTCCCCTTTTTAATGTCCTTCTCTTCTTTGAGTCGTCTCTGTGCTGAGCTGACGATAACTGTGTCCTCCGACTCCTCTTCCCCTCTCGTCTCCTCCCTCTCTCTAGGTCTGGGTCATCTGATCTCCTGTATTCTCATCAACGGGGCCCAGTACTTCAAGAGGATCAGCGAGTCTGGCATCAAGAAGATGTGCAGGAACATCTTTGTCCTCCAACAGAACCTCACCAACATCACCATGTCCAGGGAGGCTGACCTCGACTTTGCCAGGTAAGAGTCTTTTCAGTGCCGTTCACCCGGAGCAATTATTGTTCCCCCGCACCGGCAGGACACACGGAGGGAATTTCTTCAAATTCGGCACACAAACGCATTTTTGTCCCTAGCTCTACAATTGACATGCTAATTATGACAATTCCTTAATGTCTGATAGGATAAAAGGATGAAGTGATGACATTTTGGACAGATGTGGATATAAACTGCGACGTGACTGCTTGGTGGAGGCATGCAACCGTGAGGCGGTAATTGTAGTTTTGGAAAACCTCTCAACTAGAAAGGCTTGACTCGTATCTGCACTTAGTTTCCAGCAGCACAGGTTTGGAAAAGGCTCATAACCTTGCACTGGAGTAGCTGGCAGAAGACATCTTGTGCAGTCAGTGTCTCTAAATTGTCACGCTCTCGCCAACACTTTTCTAAGTGCTTGCTGGTTTTTCCTTTGCTTTTTTTTTTTTGCTGCTGTTGTCATGGTGATAAAGCCTCTGATATTACAGGACTGTTGAAACCCAAGACGATAATAACCTTATAAATAATAATATCAACACGTATGAGTGTGTTGGAATCTGTTCTGCAGTTACTGATGATGATGATAAAAGTAGCATTTCTTGATTATATATACGTCAAATATGAAAAACTGTATTATGAAGCCATCGAATCAGAAATGCGCACTGGCTGGTGATCCGGTAACATCTAGTGATGTATTGGTCCTACCCTGTTACACACCTGCACAGACACACACACACACATGCACAACGTCCTCAAGTTCAGACGGCAACTATATTGATGCACAAGGCAGGCAGATGGTCAGACAGGTTGTCAAGCAAACTCTGTGTATGTGTGTGTGTGCATGCACACGGTTGTTGGTGTTTATTTGGTATTCATACATTTATATTTGGTGAGTCTACCTGCTGTTGCACAGTGATGTCCAGCCCTGACAGGCATGGGGGGGGAGTTAGCGCTCCGATATCTTTGAAGGCTAGAGAGAAAGGAAGACATACAGAGTTGGCTGATTCAAAGTATTCATATGTTGTTTTTTTTCTCTCCCTCTTTCAGAAGCTTGTGTCCTTGACAGACCAGAGTGTGATGGAAAAGATGGAGTAAGAAAGGAGGGCTTGAGGGGAGGAATAGAAAAGATGTCTTTCATCGAAAAAGGCATAGAGTGGAGTTGGGGAAGACGGCGTGGACAGAAAATAACAGAGAGAGAGAGATGAAAGTGAGAGATACACGGGGAGAGAGAGAGAAAGGGAAGAAGCTGAAATATGGAAAGAGTATTTGAGGAGAACAGATGAAAGCTTTTATCAGCCTGATTTTCAAATATTATCACTCAGTTTTCAGCTGGGTATTGGTCTCTTTCTATTCCGTCCTTTAAAAAAAGCAAAAGACGGAGAACACATGCTCTGTTATAGAAATAGATGAACTTTAAAGAGTTTCTAAAAACACAAAGTTAAGTCTGTGACATGCTTCTTCCATGACCCGATAAAGGCTTTGCTGTGAAGACCTGCTGAAAGCCAACAGTCTTTTTGAGAACAATTAAAGTGTATTATTTTAACAGAGTGCTTCGTTCCTAATCTTTGTTCCTTCTACGTTTGTTGTTTTTCAGGCAGCATCTCAACTATCTGCTCACTTATAACCTCAGTTTTCCCGCTTCTCATATTTGTTGTTGTGCTGTGTTGTACGGTTAATTATCTCTTGGACTCCTCACGACTGTGTCATATGTTTGAGTGGATGGGTGCTCTCTGTTTGGACGTTGCTATTGTTTGTGATATGCCGGTATTGCAAGCCAAGTTTCCCTCCAGGAAGGAAACAAAAACAAAGAAGTAAACTGAACTGTGCTGGATGTGGAGGACCGTTGGTTAGCACGTTATTTCTACCCTCTGTCAACTTTGATTATGGAGAAATGCCAGTGATGGCTTCTCTGTCTTTTCTCTCTCTCTCTCTCTCTCCCACTCTCTGATTACGAGGCGTGGGCGGTGTGGAGGTGTTGATTGGGAATTGCAGAGCGCATTGTTTACAGATTCATGGCTTTTTGGATTGGCCGGCCTCCGGCTCCAAGACACACCAACACACACACACACACACACACACATGTGGAATGCATCCCTTGCTCTCACCCATGCACAGACTCTCAGCCAAGCCAATCAGCATTTTGAAATCACCATATTTATGTTTATGACATGAATATTCATAAAGCGCGCTCCGTAGCTCACACCTGTGATTGGAAGTGACCATACGGCCTGTATAAGAAAATATGATAAAGATGAAATTATGTGTTTGTGGCTTACCAAAAAGTCATCTTTTTTATGGTTCCTTTTGAAAAGACTACAACTAAATCCTCTATACGTCATAGCTATTGAAAGATACACACATACTGTACACATACAATTTGAAAAACCACTAACAGTTAAGATGCTGATAAAACTAACATTGGCCGACCAGAATGAGCAGTGAACGGAGAGGATGAGGGACTAAAAGCACGATATTCATCAGTACTTCACCTCCAGAGAAACGAGAATGAAATGAGAAAAGGAAGGGATCGCAGCAGGAAGCCTGCTTTTGAGAAAGGCTGCAGATGTTTGCCTGTGTACCCGTGTACTTCTATGTCCATGTGCGTGTGTTTTGGCTGTTTTGCTGCATCTCTGTGCTTGTATGGGAAAGGGAGAGATGAGAGACACCTGGACAAGGGCACAGTAATAACCATTGATCTGAGTTAAAACTAAGGAGACGCCCGGTAACCAGCACTGCAGAACTCATAAAGACACACACACACACACTCCCCCCCCCCCCCCCCTCCCTCCCTCCCTCCCTCCTCTCTCTCTCATAACATGTGAAGAAGGATGGGGAAACAGGGCCCCCTTGTGGCTGAGTCCAGTTTTTATACAGTATGATACTGTGAAAACCTACAGTATCTCAATTGCTACGGTTGTCATTGCTGTCAGGGTGTTAAAACTCACATGTGTGATGAGTGTGTGTGCATGCATGTCTGTATGGAAAGGTCCTATGGCGATCTCTTGTCTCAGTTGGGGAGTATGCCAGCGATATCAGCCTGTGGGTCAAGGTCACACAAACACACAAGTGGAAGAACACAGACCATCTGCTCCGAAACAGTTCAGGGGCCTCAGTCCTGTTCTGCAGAACTGTGTGTCACTGCAATGTCACGTGTGTGTGTGTGTGTGTGTGTGTGTGTGTGTGTGTGTGTCACTCCATTGATCTCCTCTCATTGTCCTGTGTCTCTCTCTCATTCGATCGTTCGTTCTGTTTTCTAGTTTCTTGACAGCAGCAGCGATGATGTAAAGGTGATGTCGTTGGTGAATGTTTTGTAAAGACTCGACCACAGTAGTTCCAGAGAAAGCACAGCAAAACTTTCAAAAACTTAGTGTTGCCTGGCAACAATCCACTCCAGCCTAAATTAATTAGCTGTCGCTGAGATTTGATTGTTTGCTCGGTTAACGAGTGACCTCGAAAGCTGTCGGTTGTTTTAACATTTAATGTCAGCTTTTTTTTTTGTTTTTTTTCTTCCTTTTACCTGTCGTCCACTTCCCTTCTGCTCTGCACACGTCTACGATGGTTTCAGCACCAGTTGTTTCAGATCAGGTGAGCTCAGGGAATGACTTGATGTCATGAGACTACACTGGATCATTGGAAAATGTGTGTGTGACTGCATTGAAATACACACATGGATTCAGCCTCAAATTACCATTCTATTAGAATACTTTCTTTGTTTTACTGCAGCACACCATGTAAACCAAACTTGCCGAAAGCACAGGAGGCAGACACAAC